ATCTAACAACTTAAGTATCTGGCAATTTCAACCATGTAAAGATTAAAAATTAAAACAACATATTAAATTTATCGAAGCCTATTACGAAAATGGACGTTCAAACAGAAATGCATTTTGCGCACTTCGCGATTTTTTGGGTCGACCAACCGACAGTGCAATTGGAAACGATGTAACGTTGTTGTGGAGAGGTTCAATTCCTGAGCGCGATGACGAATAGAGGGGGTCTGGATTTTCGACAACCTTCTCGTGCACTGCAACAATGTTTTCAACTGAACGGTGTAAACGAACACGCAAAGGTGTTTTCACATTTGCCACCGACCCAGTTTGTTTGAATTTACGAAAAAAATTTTCCAATTGCACTCTTGAAACTTTAACACGATGGTTGATTTTTAACCTTTCCTTGGTTGAAATTGCCAAAAATCATAAGTTGTTAAATTTGAAAGGCAAAGAAAAAATCATTAGTCGCATGAATTTAATTCACATTTAAAACCTGTTCAAGTTATTGGCATACTCTTTATATATATATATATATCAAGTATGTGGTGCAGTTCAATTTACATTACATGAATAACTCATACAAAAACAAATATTGAAGTTAATGATTTAAATGGCGAGAATACATCTTCGCAAACAAATTTAATAAAGTGCATTAACCCCGAACCTGTAGATGAATGTTATGATCCCTGTTTATAAATTCCAGTTGCATAAGGTCTTTTTTTATTTTTTTACAAGCTTTCATCTGTTCCTACAGACATCATCAGGTATGGAAATAGATTTAGTTTTTTACATCCGGGTAATAACAGGACAACGAAAGAATAGATGGAATCCGAAACATGTTTTTAGAAATGTGTTATTATTAATTGTAAGAAATTTGGGAGCGTGCGGTCGTAACGCTGAGGTTGAATTTTTAAATTTTAAGATTGTTCGTTTTTGTCCTAATATGGTAATAGGAGAATTCTTTTGTACTGGTAGGTTTTTCAATCAATGTAGCATGAACTAAATTGTTCAATAAACAGAGGAATAAAAACATAAGCCATGACTGGATTCTCCTGCGTGTGTGGCATGGTGCAGAGTCCTGTTACCAGACATAGGATCTTCCAGCAGCCACCCTCTTGACCCAACTTAGCACTACTTATTCAAAATAGTTGATGTAGTTGATGTAGGACTCCGTGTTGAATCTGATGCAATGTGGGAAAATGAATGGAGTCATAACATCGCCATCACTAATGATCAATCCGAACACCTTCGTAATCACCATTAGACTCATCTAACTCTTTCCGAATCCTCTGCACTGTCCTCAGATTAACACAAAATCAGTATGAAATGATCGTATTAGAGCTTTTGGCGCGAATGCCAAGCAGTGGCGCATGCCGTTTCCAAATTTCTGGTGGAGTGAATTATGTCATGGTGTTCTTTTTCTCTTTTTTGCCCAACGGACTCTACTGCATTGCGCAGGCGTAAAGAAAAAAAAAACGCGCATGCGCGAAATTAAAAACATAACATGGCGACAAATTACCCATCGTACATTGTACATGTATGTTTTTTATTGTTTTCTTTTCTTCTTTTTTTTGTAATTTTATTGTTGTTTCGTCTTTTTTTGTAAATATAGTTCATTTGGTTTTGTTAATATATGTTAATAGTTTTATTGCCTATATTATGTTTGTAACTCTAGCTTGTAGCTCTAACTTAAAGTTGTTGTTTAATGAAATTAGATTTGCTTGTTGACTATACAATTAGAGTGCCCATTATTGATAAGTGTTTGTTTTATATTATTTAATTTTTGAAGGAAAATTATTTTAGATGAGGAAATAAGTTTAGCTCTTTGGATTAGCTTATTAATCGCAGAATTTTTATATTTTTTCAAGGCATTCGCCTTTGGAGTTGAGAAGACAAGAATTAAAAATAGTAAACTTTTTATAAAGATGTGTCAAAATTAACATTTTTATAGTTCATGAGAATATCTAGAAATGTTTTGTTTTTTTTTATTGATAATACATCAGATTTATTATTTATTCTTAAAAATTCAGAAAAACTTGAACAAATAAATGAAAAAAAAATATGTCGGATTTAATTAATTTCCTAACAATTGTCTTAACAGAGCAGATATGTATATTTCGAGAATAGGCAAAATGTTCAAAATCACTATTCTGGCCTAGTTTGATCAGGAGATTCAATGTGGCCGAGAGGTTAAGGTATGTCAGATCTATTGACGATTTCCCCAAGGGGGCGCAATTTCATATCCTGCTAGCGTGCCCGTATATTTTCTAGCAAGATTTCTCGAATATTCGGGCGGATAGATGTAAATAAATATACTGTTTAATAATAAAAACAGAGCAACTACACAAATATGAGTATCTATTAAAAATAACGTTCGAACAAATAAATAAAAAATATGTAGGATTTAATCCATTTCCTATATATCTATTTTAGGATATTACACCGTAAAGATGTAAAAATCGCTACACAATTGCTGTCGTGTTTCAACGCATAGCAATGCGTCTCCTCAGCCGATTTTATTCAATTGTAAATTACAATGTCCGGATGAAATGCATTGAAACACGTCTGCAATTGTGTTGCCATTTTTACACGTTTTCGGTGTAATATCCTAAAATAAATAATATTGTTCTACTCAGTATTGAGCGCTTTTTTAAATTAAAGATTACAAACGCTGGAATTGTACTCTCTTCGTTCTCATCGTACCTATATATATATATATATATATATATATATATATATATATATATATATATATATATATATATATGCAACGCCTCTAAACAGAATATCCGAGATGTTTGATATTGAGTGTACAGTTAGGGATTCGGGGAAGAAAAGGCAGCTGTGACAAGTTTAAAATTTTATTAAGTTTAGGCGACAAAAGGTAGTTTGCGACGTTGATTCGTTTTATTTAAAGTGTAGACTGAATACATAAATGTACAAAAAATATATGACAACCAATAGTAATGAAAAATTTGCGCTAAACAAATGTTGTAACTTGTGAAACTTTATGAAATATTTAAAAATTGATGAAAGTTATAAATTTATTATTCAGAAACAATCACAATCTGTAAAAAGAAGTCAAGAATATATATATATATATATATATATATATATATATATATATATATATATATATATATATAATATCCTCTAAACCGAACATCCCAGATATTTGGTAAGGATACTGTTTTGATTCGAAAGAAAATACATATTTAGCAATTTTGGATTCGTATTTGGTACATCACCTCGAGGACAGAGCTTTACACGATTTTAAACTATTATTTATTATAAATAAAATTTCTTAAAAACGAAAAAATTCTTGTAAAAATTAATACTGGTACTGTTTTGATTCGAGGAAGAAAAGGCTACATATTTATATCAGTAGAAAACTTTGGATTTCAAAATGAGTGCAAATTTGAGGAAGTGTAATTTTAGGAAGTCTAAATTATGTTATGTTCGGATATGGGGAGTTCTATGTATCTAAGTTTCGTTAAAAACGACTGACAAGGTAATGCGATTAAAACAACTTTAACAAAACGGGCATAAAAGAAGAATTGCTGCCGAAATACACAATTATATACCGTGTGCGATGGGTAAATTGTCAGCATTTTACACTTTTAATCTCGCGCATGCGTATTATTTGTTTTTGATTTTGTCGACTGCACAATATAGTAGGGTCAGTTGGGCACTGTCTGTAAGAAAAAAAGAGCACTATGACGCAGTCCACTACAACAGAAATTTGGAAACGGCATGCTGTACTGCTTGGCATTCGCGCCGGAAGCTCCAATACGAACATTTCAGATTGTTTGGGTGTCAGTCTGGGGACAGTGCAGAGAATTCGGAAAGAGTTGATTATGAAGGTCTTTGGTGTGATCACTAGTGATGGCGACATTATGCCCCCATTCATCTTCCCACAGGACCTCATACTCAATATGGAGGCCTACATCAAGTGCCTTGACGAGGTAGTGTCGCCCTTGGTCAGAAGGGTGGCTGCTGGAAGCCCCTATGTCTGGAAACATGACTCTACACCATGCCACACAAACAGGAGTATCCTGTCATAACTGTCAGACAATTTTTGCAACCCCATCACCCCTTACATCTGACCAAGACTGCTAATCTCTTGATTATTATGTGTGGGGGTGCAGTTGAGCTAGAGACTAACAAAACTCCATCATCAAAGATGAACTGAAGCCAAGGACAAAGGCAGCATTCCCCAACTTGTTTGAAGCCAATGGCGATAAATTTACTCTTTAGTATTTCAAGATATTTTTGTACATATTTGGTAAATATGTCTGTTAAAATGAAATGTTAGTGTTATTTTTTTCCGTAATTTAGACATTTTATCCATCGTACCCTGTATTTCTTACATCGTTTTTCTCTTTTTCTTTCTTTTTTCTTTCTTTCTTTCTTTCTTTCTTTCTTTCTTTCTTTCTTTTCCTATTAGTTAACAAATAATCTACGCTCTTTTCACGTTTCTTTTTTCATTTCTTCCATTTTGGTGGTCGCTGCTCTGTCTCCAATATTCAACATCCTTTCTCTATAATCTGTAAAGGAAGTCAATATATATATATATATATATATATATATATATATATATATATATATATATATATATATATATATATATACATACACAGTATAAGTCCTCTAAACCGAACATCCCAGATATTTGGTACTGGGGGTACTGTTTTGATTCGAGGAAGAAAACGCTACATATTTATATCAGTAGAAAACATTGGATTTCAAAAGGAGTCCAAATTCGAGATAATTACGTCTGGGTCGCAGTTGAGCGACAAAATTCCTTCATCAAAGGACTAAAGCAGCATTCCCCAACTTAAACAAAGAGACCGTCCCACAGAGATGCAGGAGATTCTGGAGCCGTTTTTGGTAAATATATCTGTTAAAGTGAGATGTCAGTATTATTTTCATTTTTCCGTAATTTACACGACGATTTATCCATCGCACACTGTATATTTGTAAAACCAATTATTAAAAATAATTACGGCCATATCACTTTGAAACACCGTTTCCCGTACAATCACCAACGTGAAGCAATGTCAATTCTGTTCAGTATCTAGATGGGTGACCGCTTGGGAATACCAGCTGCTGTAAG